TGAAAATCAAGAAGGTGCTCACCATGAACACTGGTAAATCTTGTTCTCTCAATTTTTTTTTGTGGGCAAATTAATGATTCTTGTTACTTTAATTAATAGGCTTAGGATGTAAAAGATTTATGAACTCCTTACGTTGTGGTGAGTTTCACGAAATTTGATCCTAAGGTTCTCTCTTCTTTGCTGCCACATTTAGATTCCATGACTGTTAAAATTTCGTATGTCAAGTTCTATTTGCTGCCACATCATAGCTGTTCTCTCTTGTCCTCGTTTTTGGTTGGATTTTTCTAATCAAAACTTTAATATGTCAAGTTCTATTAGTGTTTCATGAGTTCTAGTGGTTGCTAAAACAGATTTATCTTGGGTTGTCTGACTTAGCTTTGGCTTTACATGAGCTCTGTCTTCTATTTCTTTCTCCTTTTCTTGAACCTGAATCTTGGAAACCAAATTAAACTTGGGGTCTAATATCAGGAATGTATATGCATATGTGTTGGCTAAAAAATACTTGGGATTTCTATTTGAAATATTTCTGCAATGTCCCATCCGAAAGCTCATCTTTTTGTTTGTGAGCCCACGCTCTTCAGAAACGGAGATGGCCGAGTTGATATGTGGATGCTATCGTACATTTGTGATGCACACTCGTGCTCTTGTTGTCACACTGTAAACCTCGTACCAGGTAATATAAGATAATGCACATCATAAATTATCTTAAAATGACAGAGTTGACATGGGCTGTAATGATAATGTCTTTGCCTCGTATATGACTAGTTTATATAATATACATTATAGTTTGTATCTTTGGTGATCTGGAAGTTATTATTTCATTATTGAACATTCTACGAATGTTTTGATTCTTTCAATTGAGCTTATTCTAAGATAATTTATACACCATGATTTAGTTGTGAATGCTAATTGTTTTACTTTTCTAGTATATGAGGTAGAAATATATAGCTTATGGTTGATGATTTGTGTAATAGAATCTTATGTTTTATTAAAGCATTATCAAATCATACCACTAGAATATTGATATATAATTGTTTTGTTTTCTTAACTATACAGTGGTGGAGCTGGGAAGTTTATATTTGGCCTTTAATTTTTTATCCATTATAATGCTATAGCTTTTGTTCCTTATAACACTAGACTAATTGTAATGTCTTCTTCAATATCATTTGTATTCTAGCTTGCAAGGATTTCCAAACAATTCATCGGCTTGAGGCAAAAGTTGGGACCGAAGATGATGTGAAAGAGAATAAGTGAGAGGGCAATGTGGATTTGGCTCGTGATGGAGATAAACATGCTTGATTCTCATGTTTTTAAATTTAATATGAGACTTATTGTACTTCACTTTGTCTTCTCACTATTTTTTTTTGAACTCACGTAACCAATTGAACATATATTTGTTTGGTTACAATAATTTGTATGGATCTACTTGATTGGTGAATCAAATATTTTAGCTCCATTTTTGTTATTTTACTTTCATTTTAGTTTCAATGGTTGAATTTGACATAGGTCATAGAATTTCTGCAATAATTTTATTGCTTTAAAAGCACTTTTTGAAACAAAATTTTATGATTCCAAATGTTTATAGCAACCCAAGAATTGGAACAACTTAATGTTCCAATAAGTCTAACAAATACACAACAATATAGGCACAAATAAAGTCGTGCCTATTGTTTTTGCATATGTAGTAACAACTTTAGCGTGTCAATATATCTATAGAAACACGTCTATTGGCACGACTTATTTGCAACGACGTTTCATTGCAATACACTAATAGTCACGAATTCAGTGGTTTTAGGCACAATATCTAGTTGTTCCTCCTAAGCATTTTTCTTGTAGTGAAAGCGATAGCGTAATGCGTCGTGTTTTTGTTTGAATCTTACATTGCATAGCATAAATTACATAGCGTGTTGCGTAAGCTATTTCGAAATAAAAAAAAAATGGGTAAAAAAATTAATTTAAATGTCACAATATGATTACCAACCGTATAAAGTATTAAACAAATTAAGACAATAAGTTTAACATAAGTATTAAATGTCACAATATGTAATGTAAAAAAAATTAAATTTAATAGTCGTATCAAACATTTTATTTTTTCATTATTTGTATTAAGACAATAAGTTTAACAATAATAGAAGAAAAATAAGTTTTCGATCATTTCGTTCTTTACCACTTTAATGTAAAAATAGAGTAAAATAGTGTTTTTAAAACACTTTGTTAAAATAAAATGGAAAAGATGACACATCTCAAAGCAAGTAGCATGGAATATCACAAATACCAATAACATCACCTAAATGTTTGTGCATATGTTATGTGAGTGAGGGATATATAATGTATTATTTATAACTTTAATATAAGGTGCATGTGAATCTCTCGCTTCAAGAAAATATAAATAGTACTATAAAACTGTAAAAAGTGACCATAAATTATTTTTGACATTTTGTTTGGAGCTTTGCTACATATTACATACATCGTAGAAATGGGGGTTTTGACGGGTCTGGTCCTACAGACATGAAGCGCATCAAAGCAAAGTGAGTCCAGACGGACATGAATGGAGTTTTATCCTAAAATCAATTGGTTGAAGGATCAATAGCCCACTAGACTAATAAGTTAGACCTATTTTCCGTGTATAGACGATATGAGACAATTCATAAGTGTGTATTCTAACATATGTCATATATTTAAAATGTGGTTCAAATAAAAAGCGAACATTTAGTATTAAAAATATGAGAAAACTATTTTTAATTATATGATATGATTTATTGTGTTGGCTACTATTTTTAATCAGCATTCATTTTATTTTTAAAACATAAAACATATATAACAACAATTATAAAATGGTAGCAATATATATAATTAAAAATAACATAATATACATTTTCAACATCAAAAACTTATTTTTATTAGAACCATACCTTATAGATAGTAGATACTATATGCTAAGGGCACCTGTAAGCTGTGAGTTTCATATTTTTGAACCCTGAATTTTTTTCAAATATATATGTTAGACTGGTCTAACTTTAGGTTGATATGGTTTTTTTCTAATAAATTAATGGAAATAGTTATATATTTTAGTATCATATTTAAAGTTACTAGTACTCAATCTTGTGCAGATAAAATAATATGAATCATATGCATGGATATTATATTTAAAACCATAGGTTATAAAATTGGCATGTCGCAATTAAATTTTTTCATATATTTATCAACTATTTTATCTATGTATGAAACATTATGTTGATATAATAAAATATCTTGCATTGTACCAAAAAAAAAAAATCTTGCATAGTGTAATTTTTACAAATTTTAAGGATCTTGAAATATTAATTAGTTAAAAAAAATGTTAATTATTATTATTATTATTATTATTATTATTATTATTATTTTTATTATTATTATAATAATTATTAATTGTTGATGCTATTTTAACGGGTTTGCTAAGTTACTAAAATACAATTTGAAAGAAATGCTTGATAAGACGAAAATAAAAGGATGATATTAATTTTAAAATATATAGTATGAATAAAATTGCTATAGAGTTTTTTATAAATGTGTAATTTCCATATAATTTATAATTATCTAATATTAGTAGTAATTATTATATGATAGAATAGTTAAAACTAATATTATTATACCTAATTCATGCAAAACGTAACAGTAGTTTCCATAATTAAATGAACAAAATGAGCTAAATATAACAGTAATTGAATAAACCACATATATAAAGAAGTATAAATTTTGTTTAAAATCCACGACCAATCAAACCGAATCATCGTTTCAGAGCAAAATTTATGATCTTGTAAATATGCTAACTTGGAAACTCATTTGTTTTCAACCATGTTTAAAACATCATCAATATCAACATACCCAGTATATTCGTCAACCATGTTTAAAAAAATAAAGAAAAAAAAAAACAGCAGCATATGCACAACCATGTTAAAACCAACAATTAAGTTAACACAAAGCTGCTGTTAGACGACATGACCACTAGAACAAAATATGTACTTCTAGAGCCGAGTGTTTAACACAAAGCTACTATGAGACTAGGCTGAGGAGCGCATAGGTCTGCCCGCCTAGCCGCCTGATCAGATTTTTCAGCCAATTTATGGAAATCAGAGGCGGCTTGATAGCGCCTAGCGCCTCGACAGCCTCCTAGGCCGATTTTTAGAACAGAGCGTTTAACACAAAGCTACTACGAGACTAGGCCGATTTTCAAAACAGAGCGTTTAACACAAAGCTACTATGAGACGACATGATCATTCGAACAAAATGTGAAGTGACCTTTCGTTTGTGTAAAAACATGCTGCTTTCCAAGTAATGGCAACTCATTACCAAAGTATATGTCAATTCATAGTATAAAAGTACGTAGATGAAAAGAGACACTCAAATTATTGTGTAGAAGTATGTCGAAGAACACATTTAACAGTGGATATTGACCGATAATTCATTTATTAGCATTGTGAAATGTATCTCGTTCGATTGTCAACCACACACAAGTTTTTGTCCCATCAAATATTACAACACGAAAGTAAACAAAAGGCTCGTAACTAACATTATGCTTTCTCATTTAGGCTCCAGCTTTACATTGCTCTTTTTTTCTCCATTCCCATCGATCTTCACATTGTTGGCCTCACGTTGAGACGAGAGGCAAGTTTCTGACCGAGAGATTTGTCAGCCTGCATGCATAACAATACATAGACATGATATTGTTCAATCCCAGTTGTTTCCCAGCAATAACTATTTAGAAACATATAAAAAGAAAACAAAAATATAATGGAATTGCACGAGTGTCCTACCTGAGACCAGTAAGAGATCCAAATGGAACGGATCTCATGGGTGACGCGGGGGTCAGACAAAGCATCGATCCATCGGTTAATAAACCTCTCTTGCCTGATGAAAGAAAATCGAGAGAAAAAATAAATAAATAAAAAAATAAATAAAGACGCATTTTTATTTGCTCAAAAGAAAATGTGATGTATTCAATATAAGAAGACAAGTGGGGAGTGAAGTACCTATCAGGTGCCCAGGAACGGTACCTCTCGCCAGGCTGCTTAAAGTTGTTCTCCTTCTCGATGCAGATCTATAATCATGAAGAATAACGAGTACACTTAAAATGTTAAACAAACACGCAGAGTCAAATGCAAAATGGATTTTTTTTTGGTAAATATCGACAATGATCTGCAAACTGCCACCCCTTATCGCAATTTCATTTAACAGAAAACCAAACGCACCAACTCACTCATGTGTCAATATAGATTAAAATACAGTGGCATCTGTAATAAGCTACTAGTTCGCTTTAACTCAATTAATCTCCATCAACTGTCAAAATCATTTTTCCTCGTGTTTTTCCTATTTGACCCAACTTTTTGAAGGGGTAGGAACTCCTAAGGAGGCAGCTTTCTGGTAATGCTTATCATTATGTATCAAACATCCTCACATAACCCTCAAGTCAGTTTTATACAACAAATTATACGAGTTTTTACCTCCCTTTAATACTCAACATGGAAGTGGTAAACATCAAGCAAAAACCTTCCAACGGAAAAAAACTATTTAGTAAAATCAAGTAAACAAAAATACTTACTCTGTCGCGCTTCCCTCCCAATACCACAGGAGGAATTGGATGCCTCTCAGCATGGCGGACAGGGTCATACCTTGAAGGGAAATAATTCACCTGAAAAAGGTGTGGAATATCAGCCAAATACATCCAAGCAAATAGAATGAGAGAAGCACACCACACTCTAAAGAAGTACAGGACGAACTATCAATGCATTTCCCATGAGGCAGCTGTTATCAAAACTGCCTTTAGAACACTTGAATAGCAGTTATGTCGGTGAAAGACGCGGTTTCTCAACAATCTCAATATTAAATTCAACTGAGAAAATCCCAATTTTCCAAAGACCAACAAAAAATTACCTCCTCATCCCTGTGCATAAAGTTCATGAAACCCTCATGGTGATTGTTGTGGTGAGCACATTTGGGAGCATTAGCCGGAAGCTGCAGATAGTTCGGCCCGAGACGGTGCCTCTGAGTGTCCGCATAAGAAAATATCCGAGTCTGGAGCAGCTTGTCGTCCGAGTAGTAAATTCCAGGGACAATAATGGCCGGGCAGAACGCAAGCTGCTCGTTCTCTGCAAAGAAGTTGTCGATGTTCTTGTTCAGCACAAGGCGGCCCACGGGCTGCAGTGGCAAGATGTCCTCGGGCCAAGTCTTGGTGACGTCAAGTGGGTCAAAATCAAACCTGTCCTCGTGGTCTGGGTCTATGATCTGGATAAAAAGCTTCCATTCGGGATAATTCCCTGCCGCAATCGAGTCATAAAGGTCCTGGGTGGCGTGGCTGTGGTTGGCTCCCCCAACCTTAATGGCCTCTTCCTCAAGCAGGCACTTGACGCCGCAAGTGGGCTTCCAGTGGAACTTCACGTAGTGGGCCTTCCCGGCCTTGTTGATCAGGGTGTACGTGTTGACACCCGAGCCGTCCATGTGGCGGTAGTCTTGAGGGACGCCCAAGTCGTCAAAGAGGAATGTGAACATGTGGAGGCTCTCTGGGTGGTGGGAGAAGAAGTCGAGGATCCTCCAGTTCTCCTGAATGTGGGACTTCGGATTGGGTTTGAGGGCGTGGACCATGTCCGGGAATTTCATCCCATCACGAACGAAAAACACAGGAAAGTTGTTTCCCACCAAGTCAAAATTTCCCTACATTCATTAGAATGCATAGAGAAAATTAAGTTGACTCAATTACTGAATAATTTTCAAATTCATACAAAAAATGTTATTAGCAAGGACAGCAACCAGATACAGAATAAAACCGGACGTAATTCATCAAACTAGTTTACCGATCACGAGTACAATGCTGTTAATGGGAAAGAAATACAGCTACACTAGAGACAACATAAAGTACCTCTCTAGTGTAAAATTTCACAGCGAATCCTCTGGGGTCACGAAGAGTTTCGGGGCTGCCACGCTCATGGATGACAGTGGAGAACCGGACAATAACAGGTGTCTGGACGCCTGGAGCTCGGAGGAAATCAGCACATGTAAGGTTAGAGATGTCATGAGTGACCTCAAAGAATCCCTTGGCACTGGCACCTCTAGCGTGTACAACACGTTCCGGAATTCTCTCCCGATCAAAATTAGCAAGTTTCTCCACCAAATGGTAATCTTCCAGGAGGATAGGGCCTGTAATATGTACACAATCAGAATTTTGTTTTCACACAACTAATATTCTGTGAAACGAAGCTAATAATATCAAATAGTGAAAGGAAAATCCAATTGCACATTTGTATCCATGGTCTCAAGAAAGAATGTATTGTTTACTGAAGACCATCTTGAATTTGATTCAAAAAAGAAAAAACTAGGAAGGTCACTCTGGAGAAGACAGGAGAAACAGCGAAGTTTTTCAGGGTTGTCAGCTGACACTAACATTCACAGCTGATATCATCACATGTTATCAATCATATTAAAATTGTATTCAATTATACAGTTGATGTCATTACGAGCATACAAAAAGAAAATCCCACCATCTAAGTAGATAAGTACATAGATATTGATAAAACTCATTCTTTTTCAATATTACTTGCACAGTGTCTAAGATTGAAGAAAATTCTGAAGAGGTGAAACAAAAAGGAGACGAACAAATGCAATAACAACTATAGCAACAGACGAAAATAACACCAACAGAGAGGCAAAAACAAATAGCAAGAACAATAGGAAAGACCTCTCGTTCCTACAGTCAATGAGTTGTTATTGTTCCAGACCGGAGCTCCGGAGTTCGTGGTCCAAAAAGGCGAATTGAACGCACTCGACGGGCGGTACTGCACCAATCGTCAAGAAACTCAGACATCACAACAAAACAACACAAAATTTCGGACAAAAAACAAAATCGAGCACTACCAATCAAAGACAGTAAAATCAATATTATCAGAAATAAAATAAGCAAAAAACATTTCATCAACTACCGTCCGATAAAAACTCGGGCATCACAGCAGAACAACACAAAATTTGGGTGAAAAAAATCGAGGACAACCAATCAAAGCCAGTAAAATCACTACTAATGAGCAAAAAAGTACAATAAAATCAATATCCATGAGCATAGGATGTAAACAGAGATTAACAACTCAATGAAAAATTCAATAAACCGAGGCCAACCAATCAAAGTCAGTAAAAATCAGTATTCACAAAATAAGCAAAATCGTTTCATCAACTACCATACGATTAACATCAGTGAGCATATGACATAAAATCGAGATTAACAGCTCAACGAAAACTTCAATAAATCGAGGGCAACCAAACGAAGCCGGTAAAAATCAGTACAAACAAAATCAGCAAAAACGTTTCAACAACTACCATATGATCAAAACTCAGGCATCACAACAAAACAAGACAAAATTTGGGGGAAAATAATCGAGGACAACCAATCGAAGCCAACAAAATAAGCAAAAAACCGTTCAATCAACCACCATACGATCATTAGCAATGAGCTTAGGGCACTAAATCGAGATTAACAGCAGCTTAATGAAGAAGTTCAATAGAAAACGAAAAATTACCTTGTATGGATCCATGGATAGAGATGAGAGATGAGAGATTTGTGCTAGGAAGAAGAAGATAGAGCGTGTGGTTCTCTTGGGGAGCTATTTATTAAAAAGGGAAATGTTATTTATTCATAATTGAGGTGGGGTCAATATCAATACGTAAGGAGAAATATTATCCACAACAAAAAGAAAAATAAAAAATAAATAGGCATATCAAGTTTATCAAATATCAACACAAAAATAAAATCTTTCACTCTTTTTTTTTTTAGTATATTTTTTATTATCATGGTTAAATTTTTCTTTTTTTTTTTCTTTTTATATTTATTTGAATGCATTTTGATAATAATTAATAATTAGAAAGTGTGTTATCCAGGTAGTCCAATCGAATAACTCACGATTAAATACGTGTCTTTTTAAAAATGAGTCGTTTCGACTACCTTGACTCTTTTAAGGAACGAACAAAATGTCATCGAACAATTCGCGTTTAAATTCGTGTTCTTTTAGTAAAAATGAGTCGTTTCGACCATCTCGACTCTTTTAAGGAACGAACAAAATGTCATCAAACAACTTGCGTTTAAATTCATGTTCTTTTAGTAGAAACGAGTCGTTTTAATTACCTCGACTGTTTTAAAGAACGCACCAAATGTCCAATTAGAATTCAACTCGTTTAAACTCATGAAAGTTTAGATTCACATTATTTAAATAAACTTGTACATTAATTGTTTTGTATCTAAATTTTGACGAATAAATTCGTACCAACAGTTTTTTAAAACATTTAAAATAATTAAATAAACAAGTTGTTCATTAAAAAAAATCGATTAGTTGTTTGAATTCAACTAATTTGAAAAAGTCAATCAATGAACAAGTCGCTTCGTGTTTTTCTATGAGTCGAGTCGAACTGAGTTTATGAACAACTTAATTCAAATCGATTTATAAGCACGTTTATACAAATAAAATAAAAAAAATAAAATCAAGGAAGATTGCAAAACATATAATTTTAATATTTCAAAATAGAAAATAAAAATTAGAAAAAAAAAAAAAAAAAAAAATTCCATGCTAGTTTTTGTTGTTTATCTCAAGACCATGTGTGGCGCCAAAACGAGGGACGATGAGATCCCGCCACGTGGCCTAAGCCTCGAAGTGTGTGATGAGGATAAACGCAATGGTTAAAGCAAGGATAGGGCTTTTGTTGGACTTATTACGATGTCGTGTGAACACAGATCTGTTCTTAAATATTCTATTTTGCTATATATGTGGTAAAACTAGCTGATAAACTAGCTGATAGCTGATAAGCTAGCTTATAGCTTATATGTAATTTTTGAACTTATAGCTTATAGCTTATGACTTATAGTTGAAAAACTAGCTTATATGATAAAAGTGTTTGATAAAATTAGCTGATAAGCTAGCTGGAATAAAAAATTCAACTAGCTTATTTGAAAAGCAACCTAAACAAGCTTATCAAATAAGCTCGAGCTTTTTAAATAAGCTAGTCCTACCAAACTAAGCTTATTTAAATACAAAAAATTTATAAACTAACCAAATAAGCTATAAGTTTATTAGAATATCACTTGTGAGTTGTCCCACATTGTTCATATATGGAAAATAGACCTACCTTATAAGTCTAATGGGCTACTCCTTCTTCCACCAATTGGTTTTGGGATGGAACCCCACTTGGGCTTCATATGAGTTTTTCCCTCTCATGGTGCGCTTCATGTTAGTGGGTCCGCACCCGTTTTTCTCTCAGTTTCTTACAAAGCTAGCTTATTTTGTTTACTAAACATACCTTTGGTATGGCAACGTAGATTTATATAGTAATGTCCATATCTACGGTGGACACATGTTAATATGTCCATCGAGACATGCACACATTGGTGATGTTAATATTAGGGGTGAGCGTAGGTCGGTACAGTTCGGAGATTGATAAATCTCTAAAACCGTACCACAGTTCGGAGATCCCAAAATTCGATATCTGGAACCGGACCAAAAAATCGGTTCGGTTCTGTTCGAAGATTTTTATTTTCGGTTCAGTTCGATTCGATATTAGGGACTATTGGGACAGTACGGTTCAGATGGTGGTTCGGATCTTCAGAGATTTCTTATTTTCTTAGATTTTTTTTTAATGACTAGCTAGTTATATTTTAATTTTTATATGCTTTAAAAAAACAACATTCATCAATAATTCATCATATTGAAGATTTTATTTTGAAACCAATTTTAGAAGTAACTCTAAAATTTTATTTAATTTTATATGTTTTAATAAAACCAACATTCATCAATACTTCCTCAAATTAAAAATTTTATTTTGAAATCAACTTTAGAAGTAACTCTAAATTTTTAGTTAAGACTAAATTTGTGCAACTAATATTGAAAATTTAAAATTCAAACAAAATATAATGATTTTTTTTTTTCTAAAAAAATATTCTTTAATCTTTCATATTATTTTAAATAATTATTTTATAATAGAAAAAATTCAATTGTAAATCAGGTATTAGTAAGAATGAAAGTTAAGTGAAGGTTAATAGTTATTATTATTAAATTATATAGGATCAAAGGTGACATAAAATATATTTAATAACACATTTAATGTTATATTCGGTTCTTAATTTCGGTTCTTCGGTTCGATACGTATGGGACGGTTCGGTTCGATTTTCAGTACGGATATTTATGAAATCTCCAGAACCGTACCAATTAATATTTTTTCAATTCGGTTCGGTTCGGGGAAAGTCAAACGGTCAACGGTTATTTTTCGGTTCGGAGTGATTTTGGTTCGGTTTTCGGAACGGTTCGAAATTCTCCGAGTCTCATGCTCAGCCCTAGTTAATATGTTTAAAAAAATACATCATCACTGTGTGCATGTCACATAAACGGTGAGCATATTAACATGTGTCCACCGTGAATAGGAGAGCATTACCATAAATTTATACGAGCCATATTATCTCCACTCAAATAAAAAATTAAAATAATATATTAAATAGATGTATATGAGGAAAAAAAAAATACTATATTCAAATATGGTCTAGTTATAAGCATCCAGTCGTTAGTAATTACATTAACTATTTTGACCTGACCAATAGATTGCGATAACTGTTTTGATAGTAATCGGATCAATCTATATATAAAAAATTGTAGCTTAGTCATTTATTGAAAAGAAAATAGAATTCTACCTAATTTTCTAACTGTTTTAGTAAGTTCTAATTCTTTTGTGTATGTTTACATGATTGAATTTGTAATAAATATTATAATAATCATAAAAATTGTAACGACTGTGTTTTAAGAATAAACTTAATTACGTGATTTGTTATTTTAGTAAACAATAAGTAATATTATAATTTGGTGTAACCTTTCAATATTATACCACTACATGTCTTTGGCTGAAAAATAATTTTAAATTTGGACTATATATTATTCATACTTCATTTTAACCATTTTGAATAGTACAGCAAAATCGGTTTCAACACAATTATTTAGGATTAATAAATAGATTTCAGATTTGTCTTAAGAAATAAATTATAAAAATAAACCATAATCTTATTAATTATTTTGCGTTTTTTAATTGTAGCGATTTCATTACTCAATTGATGCGGTTCTATATATTAAAAACAAAATTAACTAAATTTCCAGTTTAATAATGTAGATTTATATTAATTTTATCAAGTTATATTACTTTATTAGTATTCAATTTGAATTGAATTTGTAATTGTAGTTATGTACACAAATTGTATAAAGTAATCTAATACGTTATGAATTTCCCAAATATAGCAATCAACTTTCTCCTCTCGGTCTCAAGTCAATCACAAACATGCATAAATATTTGCCCTATATTCACACAATTAATATAAGCATAAGAAAATGATGGACGAAAGATAGACCGGGATACATAAATAAAATTACTTCATAAATTAATTCTAGTGCTCACAAATTCTAGAATACCATAAAGATTTATCTACTAAACATACTCTCAATTCTCAAAATAAATAAATGCATGGGTTAAGTGAAGAAGAAAAAGAGAAAATAAAGATGAACTATTGTCGTCGCGGCTAGTTCCCAAATCTTCAATCTTGACTCCTTGAATGCCTCGTGCGTCGTGTGCTTTTTCTTTTATTTTGACGGTTTGACAAAGATTGGAAGATTCCTAGCATTTATGGAATTCCATGCATTGACAAAATAAAAAGCACACGATGCAACAATGAAAAAATTGCAAGTTTGATAATAGGTGGGGTTTATGTTAAACCCGTTGAGACTAGGGGTGGCTTACTTCTCAGCTGGTCTCTTGATATCACTATTTTAGATCTCAATTGTTTTGATTTTTTCGTAGAGGTCAAGTTCGCGTTCAAACCCTCTCAGACCCCTATTTGGGGGTGTTTTGTGTACCTTAGTACTAATTTGGGGAAGAGACAAATGCAATGGCATATGTTAGTCAGGCACAGTTTGGGTGGGGCAATCAGTGGTTTATGGGAAGAGATTTTAATGACCTCGTCTCTGACCATGATAAGAGAGGTGGCAAGGTAAGGGACGAGAGTAGTTTTCAAGGGTTTAGGGATTTTGTCCAGGTTTTGGGTATGATGGATACTAAGATTAGTGGACATCCTTTCACCTAGACAAATAATAGAAGAAGTCTTGAGTTCATTAAAGAAAGGTTAGACAAAATCTTTCTTTCTCCTCACCTTAGTTTTCTCCATCCTTTGGCCTTGTTAAGCATGTATCTGTTATTTCCTCTGACCACAACTTGCTTGTTTTGGATTTGCTCAACTCTGCTTCCTCCTCTCCGAAAAGATTTATGTTTGATGCAAGATGGGTGGCAATGAGTGGATTTAAAGAAATTATTGAAAAATCTTGGCACTTACCAGTGAAGGGTCCCCCTCTTGTGAGCATTCAGAGAAGGATTAAGAATGTGAGAGTGGCATTGCTAAAATGGAAGTCCACTTTGAATACCAATTCAGCCAGAATCATTGACAGCTGCAAACATACTCTGGAAACTTTAGAAACGCAGGGAAGCTTGAGGGATTGGAATGTTTGGCAGAATTGTAGAGATCAACATCAAGCATACAGGGAGGAAGAAGTGTTTTGGAAACAGAAGGCTGGGTTATCCTGGTTAACAGTAGGAGACAAGAATACAAAGTACTTCCACGATGTTGTTAACCAGAGAAGAAAGATTAATAGTATAGATTCACTGGAGAGATTGTATGGCTCTATGTGTGACAACCAATAGGAAATCCTTGATGAAATCATCTCTTACTTCAAAAACTTATTTTCAACCTTCAACCCTTTGACTGAAAATTACAGCCTTGATGGAATCCCTTCTTCAATTACACCTGAGGCGAACATTAGGTTAACCAGAAAGATTGAGCCTGATGAAATCCATGGAGCCTCACTTGACATGGACAAGGATAAAGCCCCGGGAGTGGATGGAATGATGTTCTTTCAATCCTCCTAGGACATTGTTCAAGGTCACTTATGTGAGGTTGTGAAGGATTTTTTTCATAATTATCAAATGCCAAAGGGTCTCAACCACACTGTGCCGACATTATTTCTAAAAAGAAAAACCCTGTGAAAATATCAGATTTCAGACCAATTAGTTTGTGTACAGTCCTTTATAAGATCATAGCCAAAATTGTAGCAAACATACTCAAACCAACCCTAAACACTTGCATTTCTGCCTCCCAATCAGCTTTTGTCCCTGGGAGGCAAATCATTGACAATGTGATCATAGCCAATGAGTGTATTCACTACCTCAATAGCAAGAAAAAGGGCAAAGATTGCTTCTTGGCAGTCAAACTGGACATGGCCAAAGCATACGATAGAGTTGAGTGGAATTTTATTGCTAGGGTGGGCAGAAAAAATGGGGTTTAATGAGATGGTTGTTTCTTGGATTATGTGTTGTGTGTGTTTTGCTACTTTTCCTATTAATCTTAATGGTGAAATTTTGGCAGGGAGTTCCCTTGTCCCACTACCTCTTCCTTATCCTCTCAGAAGCATTTTTCATCTGATCTCCCAAGCTTCTTTCATTGGTTTCTTTTCTGGTATCAAAATTGGAAGACTGCTCCTCGTATTTCACGTCTCTTATTTGCTGATGATGCAATTCTATTTAGCAAAGCAGATGATCATCATGCTAGGTTAATTTTGCGAATTTTGAAAGAATATGGGGATGCTTCTAGCCAATTAGTTAACTTAGATAAATCCTCAATTTTCTTGTCCAAACACACCCATGATTCCATCTCTTCTTTAATCTGTCAGATTCCTAATGTTATTTCTATAGTCACTTCCTCTAAATACCTAGGTCTCCCTCTGGGCATAGGAAAATTCAAAAGAGACACTTTTTATCATCTAATCTAATTTTATAAAATACTTCTATTATATCAGTTAGTTCTTCAACCGTACGCTATCAGCTATGAGGTTAAAATTCATCTATAAACTATCAGCTAACTTATCAGTAATTAGCTAGCTTTTAAGCTAGAATTACCAACATAGCCTAATTTCACCGGGTTCTTTTGAAAAGCTACATAAGGAAGCCTGTAAGATAAACTAAAGCTTGCTAAAAGTCTACCAAACTAATCTTATTTGAATAAAAGAAACTTAAGCTAACTGAATAAGGTAGTTCATGATACTACCAAATACACCAAATTGTGAGATACCTTGTTGTAGATTGAAATATCTCTACACCTTGGGAATAACAAGAACGAAATATGTTTCTTTATTATTACAAAAAATGCCATTTAATTATATACTATGTAAATATATGAATTTATATGAAAAATTAATATTGCATGAGATTGACCTTCAGAATCTTCAGCTAATTAGTAACCTAACATGCAAAAATAATTTTC